GGGCATGATGGGGTTAACCCCCTACACGCCTTCGGGCCCCGGGAGCGGGGTGGGGGGCTGTCTCCCCAGGCTGGGCACGGGAGGGTCGGTGCCTGCTCGCACCTCCATCCGGATCCCTCCGTCCTTCTCGCGCCTCTTGATTTAAAGACTGAATTATATCTGTTTTCCCCCACCCCCGCGGAGATTTAAAGTGAAGTCAGTTCCGGGTGCGACCTACGGACTGATGACGTCGCGCCCGCGCGCCAAAATCACTTCCGACAGGCGATCGAGCGGGGGGTGGGGCAGCGCGCCTGACGTGCAGGGGGCGGGGCCTCCTGGCGTTCCATGTCCGGAGGGGGCGGGGCTGAGCGGGAAGCATGAGGTGACAGTCAGGGAGGGAGAGAGGGGGCGGTCTGTGCCTGCGTCCCGCCACCCGGACCCCCGTCCCCAATTAGCACAGCAGCGAGGACAGGGTTTGGTCTTCCCCACAGGTGGCTCTGCTAATAGCCCCTTCTCCACCCCCACTGCAGTGCCACATGCACATACGCTCAGAGGTGGCACCACTCAAAGCCCCTTTTCCATCCCACTGCAGTGCCACCCGCACCTGCTGGGCAGTTCCCAGCTGGCGCTGCCTGCCTCTGGAGGAAATGCCCCCTTCCAGTCCAAACCTCTCCCTAAACCCCCAGCCAGAAAGGCCGTGTGCCAGAGGCACTGTTGTATTTGATAATGCATGATAGCATTTTTATTATTGATTTTATAACTTTGCATCTTGTCGCTCTTTATAACTGACAAGAGTGATTTGCGTAGGATTCCTGCAGTCCAGCCTGACCCCCAGAGTGCTAACGCTGCGGTGCAGATCGCAATGTGAGAGTGCTTTGCCAAAGTTTGGCAGCTCCATCAGTCCCTCCCCACCACATACACGCCCCTCTGACATTCCTTCTGGATCTGAATGTTGAAGGGTGTCGTGTCTACGGGTGCTGGGCCTCAACTCAAAAAGCATTTTGATGTGCACGTCTAACACGATGTATGGCTTGTTACACCTCAAAAGCTGTTTTATTTTGCTTTTTTTTAAATGAGTTTCCAAAGTGGCTGTGACTGTTGTTACTGAAAATAAGAATTAGACTTCCCAGAGTCATTGGATGATGGCAGAGACAATGGTAGTCCTTAAAAGCCTCTCTGGTCTCCCAAGTAGTTACCGGGATAGATGGGGAAAGAACAAATTTACCTGAGTTGTCATTAGTTTCAAATCAATATATTCAAAAGTCTTTCTCTGTTACCTATTCATGCAAAGCCTGTCACCTCTTTTGTTCAGAATATAAGAAACATGCTAAAGTAATTAAACTGCCTGAAGAGCTGTGTATGTGACAACCTCTCTGTCATTTTTTTTATAAGCCCTAATGATAAATTTCCCTTTGTTCTGCTATGTTCTTTTTTTTTCAGTTGTATTTTGAAGTCTTTCTGAAACATTACATGCAGCCATTCTCAAAAGGGTTTGGGGAGAACTCTTACTGCAATGTGAATAGTCCTGTGATATGAAGGGGCTTTCATTTAAATACTGAAATGTTTTAAGGACTTTTTTTCTTTTTCTTTTTTTTTTTTTTTAATCTAGGTCTTTCTAATAATCTTCCCACAACTGTAATGTCAGGGCATTTTTAGGTGATCTTCCTGTCCAGAAGGAGAAATGGATGTTTGTGATGGTGGAAAGGTTATGCTCTGTCCTTGAACAGAGATGACTTAACAGCATGCAGGCTCTACCCCTTTTCAGTGATCTTGGCCACTGCCTGGTTCCCAGTTCTCCAAAATCACTGTGCTTGAAAGTTAATCTAAATCTTCATCATTCACAAAAGTGCTAGCCTCCATCTAAATTAAGGAATAGTACATCCTGATTGCCAAAAAAGCATTATAAGCCTAGGAATGATGCAGCCTCCTTCAAAAGACTGAATAAAGCTATTATTGCATATGTATTTATTTATTTATTTTTGCGCTGTTTGCATAGTCTAAATGTCTTCTCTATGGAAAGTTGTGGGCCAGAAAATTTTTCCTCAGACTGAATTATTTTACTCTTAACTAGTACGTTATGTGCAAATTTCATTTTTTGGATGATATTTATTTTAACAGGATGGGATAAGGCGTGGTCGACCAAGAGCAGATACAGTTCGGGATCTAATAAGTGAGGGAGAACATTCTTCCAGCAGAATCCGTTGTAACATCTGCAACAGGGTTTTTCCGCGAGAGAAATCTTTACAGGCACACAAAAGAACTCACACTGGTAAGTGAATTGTGTTTACAAAATTAAAACAAAAATTGTGATGACACATCTTTATTGGAGTTGTTATAGCAGAGCAATGTGGGCTGCCATAATAAAAGGGGAACAAATGCATGTCATCTATCTTTACAGGTTACATCTGGTAACTGAAATGGAAAGTGGCTTTTCTTTTTTGACTTGCATGTACTTGATAGTGCTTTTAATTCCCATGAACCTTTCTTTTAAAAAAAGAACAGACTTCTTCAAAAATTTGTGTGCTGATTTCACATGGCAATGAAAGGGATACAGAATGAGAAAATGTTCAAAAAGATATAAGAATTGGCAAGAGACTTGGAGTGGACTACTTCTAATGATCTTAAATTGATTGCATTTTAAGCAGACCGCTGTTCTCCGTCATTCTTCTTGACCACACCCACATTCTGGGATTGCTATCTGACTAAAATAAAATTTTGGATTAGGTTGTAGAATTAAGGCTGAACTCAAGGTATTTAACAAAAAAATATCAAAATGTTGGATTAGAAAGGTGAAGACGTTTTAAAAGCAAAATGTATTTGAAAAAGCCATAGGTTTTTCCTCAATTTCTATCATAAAAAAAGGTTTTACTTTAAAAGAAATGAGACTTTTGACCAAAAGATGTGTGCCCAATCTTCCCCTTCCCTGTATGCCTGGGCCAATTCCAGAAAATGATTAATGCCCAGGCTAACTTTTGCAATTTGCTTTTGTGGCCTTTCTTGCTGGATCAAATTATACTTGACCACAAATTTCTCCATTCTTTTCATCACGAGATGGTTTTTGTATTTAATTTTTCTCATTGATAACAAACTTTTATCCCTGAAGCTTATGGGCCAAAGACACAATCTTATTTTTTTTTCCATTAATTTTATCCCTGATTTCAGTATGCTTATACTGATTAAAATATATTTAAATGTAGTAACTAGCTATATCATCTGCCTGTGTGCCTTTTAAAGTTTTGCCTGCAGTACACAAGAAGGTAGAAATCATGGTTTCATAGTTGCTACATAACTAAGTGCTGTGCTGCTTGAACGCTTATCTTCAGCCTAATACTTCAATCCCTAGATCCTCGAGTCCTTTCTTAATCAAACTTGCACTGTGGTGACTTGCACAGTTGGGTGCCTTTAATGTTTCCCCTGATAGGTGTAGATGTGGTACTGAGAGGGAGAAGGAATACAAAGTTCTTGCAGTCTTCCTGGAATTTTTTCTTAAGGCTTTCCCCTTCCTATGTAAAGAAGGAAGCTTTCCTAAAAGCATCAAATTAGCAGTTGACCAGTCAGTCACAAAAAGAGTTATCAGGTACTGCAGCCTTCTTTACAGAGAGAACAAATAGAAATTCCAACTCCAGTATCAGATACCAGATTTCTCCAATTTCCATCCTGAAGCCTAGAGCAGAGCAGAGGGATGCCATTGAGCAACACAGTATACATTTCATTCTGTACTTGTTAAGCCATTCCATCCATGCTCAACTTTTTTACTTGCACAGAAAGAAATGTGAATGGTGCTCTGGAAGCAGCATCCCATCTTGGAAATGGATGGATCAATGCATGATGCTCAGGCTCATACATGGACCTTAGGAGTTGGCCCTAGAATTTTTAACATTGAAATAACCAGTGGCAACCGTGTGTGAGAGCCAATACAGCATCTTGAATGAGTCTGTCTGTAGGTACCACCTAGTGGCAGAACTATAAATAGTTTTAAACCTGTAGTATGTGACTTCAAATGCCATCCTATAAATGATGAAGAAAAGTAATTTGAAAGTACAGCCTTTATGTAAATATTCACTATGTTGTATTTCATCATAGCGTAAATAATTAACTCGGTGAAGAGCGTTTTCAGTACAACTTTTTCAAATATGTTTCTGGCATACAAGCACCACCTCAGATTTAAACCAAAAGATTAGAATGAGTTTTTTCTCCATGCAGGTCATAAATCTGACAATACTTTAGTTATGCTTGGTTTTATTGGTTTCCTTTGTTGTTGATAGGTTACCACATGGTTTTTATAGGTGTTCTTACACACTAACCTGTGAGATTCTTTTGATTGTAAGATGTGATTGCAACATAACAGAAGCACTTAAGAAAAGTGAGGAGTAAATTTTAACATCTAAAATGTTAGTTGATTTTGAAGCTGGATCATATTGGTGTAAAAGTGAATGCTACTATCATCTTTCCACAAAGTATTTGTTTTTCCTAGTGACTAGAGAGTATCCCCTACCCAAGCACTGAGTCATTGGTCACCACTAAATGTCCAGGCTCTTAATTCTGCTCATCCTCTTTCCTTTAAGGTGAAAGGCCTTATTTGTGTGACTATCCAGATTGTGGAAAAGCCTTTGTTCAGAGTGGGCAGCTCAAAACGCACCAACGTCTACACACAGGAGAAAAGCCTTTTGTCTGCTCGGAGAACGGTGAGCCATCAGAAAGAGACTTGTACCATTTGGATGCGTTTGATGCTACTAGAGTTGTCATATACTGATGTCCTGGATCTCAATTTTAAGTTGGTTTGGTTTTTTATTTGTTTGTTTTTTGGGGGGGGGTTGGCTTTTATTGTTTTTGTTTCTTTTTTAGAGAAGGGGAAAAACTAACTGCACAATTGTCAGTTTAAAAGCATAGCTCTTAAATACTTACTTAACTTACAGCATGCTGTGTGCTGAATTGAATCCAGGTTTTACAAAGAGGAAAGTTTAACAATTATTTTAAAAGTCAAATGTTAAAGGAACAGGGATGATGTCTTTTCATTGATGTTATTCCTTTTTTAATTAAGGCTGTTTAAGCAGATTCACACATGCAAACCGCCATTGCCCTAAGCATCCGTATGCAAGACTGAAGAGGGAGGAGCTTACCGACAGGCTGAGTAAAAAACAGACAGCTGACAATAAAGCCGTTGCTGAGTGGCTAGCAAAGTAAGTTTAAGTTGTGAGCACCTCATTTTCACAGTAAGAGATTCAGAACTGTGTATTGTGCGGGGCTTGGGGGTTTATTAATGCTCATGATAGTCGCTTGCTGTCACTATTTTTATGCAGTTCTATCAAGGATTTTTTTATTATTTTTTTTTTTTTTTTTTTTTTTTTTTTAATGATCCATTCTTTAGGTCAAACTCTGCAGCTTTCTAATGTATTGACCTCAGATAGGTGGGCCATGATAGAGAAGTCTAGCTTTACTTACATCATACTGTTTCTGTCTGTATCAGATATACTATTACTCCTGGCTCCTTTTTTATAATCATAGGGGTAAGAAGCATTTCTCTTCCTGATTGTGTCAGTGTGCCTCTTTAGAACCTCTGTTCCAAAAGGGATAGAGCTCCCTTCTTGCAATTTTTCTGACTAGTTGGATTCATCTCTTTCGTAGCCTACTTTTTCAAACATCTAGATGAAGAAATAGAGCTGCCAGACCAGAGGACTGTTTCTAGTTTGGATGGATTTCCTGTTTGCCCTGCTGTATTCAGCTCCCTGCTTCACTTAACCCATGTTTCTACAGCAACTGTTAATGTAGTCTTTTTTTGGTTCTTTGTTTCTCATGCTGGTGAATGCACATGTACAAGGGAAAGCAATTCTTAGCATAAGAGAACTCTGGAGGCCTGGTAGCAACATGTAAAAAGAATTTAGGTCACAGATGTAAATCCTTTATCTTTTTTTAAGAAAAGCACTTTTGAACATGGAGAGTTTTTCATCTTGTGTAAATCCTAAATAAGGTCTATAAGATAAGCAATGAGGATAGAATGATCCAATCCTGTTTAAGATGGGCTTGGGACATGCTGTCAGTCTTTGATTGGAGCTTATTATGTAAAGCAGATAGTGCTTCTAAAGCACATATAATTTTGGCTTCACAGGTACTGGGAGACTAGAGAGCAGCGTGCACCTACCTTGAAAAGTAAAACTGTTCAGAAAACCGACCAGGAGCAGCAAGACCCCCTGGAGTATCTTCAGTCTGATGAAGACGATGAGGAGGAGAAAAATAGTGTTCACTCAGCTGCCCGCCGCCGTCTTCAAGAGCAGCGAGAGCGCCTGCATGGGGCGCTTGCTCTTATTGAGCTTGCAAACGTGGCTGGAGCTCCGCTGCTACAGTAGCATAGGGACTGAATCTGCCAATAGATGAAATGAAATGTACTGCCTGGTGGTACTTAACCAGTTAGAACCTGGGCATAAGCTAAGCACCTTATTTGCTTTTCATAGGCTGCTATTCTGTAGAATTTATGAAGAATGTTGTTGTCCCACAATGTGGGGCGAGAGAATTGCACTTTTTTTATATGGTAAAAGACAGATGTAAAGTTTTTAAGTATTTTGTAAATATGGGACTGCACAGTGCAGGGTAAACAAATTGCAGTTTGTGAGAGAACTAGATTTTGCAAGGTTAATTCATTTATTTAAAGCAGTTCTCACAGGAAGCACTTTCTGAACATGATGCTTGTTTTGATAGCAGGATGGTACATTTGGCCAAAGAAGGCTGACGGGAAATTATTTATCTATTTAAACAATTTTATTTGAAGTGGTATGTTTGCAAACACTGCAAGCAGTGATGCAACCAATGTTTTTTTGGGGGGTAGGGGGGAAGGAGGATTGTATTTTATTATACCTACTGTCACCAATCAGAGGGCCAAATTGAATATTCCAGCTTAAGATGGGGAAGAAACTGGTTAAGGTAAAAACTAAAAACAGTTCAGGATCTTCATTGTGACTGCCCAAGTTATGAGACTGACTTCCGTATTAAATCTTGGTCTTGATCTCAGCAGAATCTTTTGGTTTGAGTAGCACTTGTTATTCCTAACTTATAATGTTGGGAACTTTTGCACATTACTGGGCTTATCTGCAAATAAGTGAATAATCTTGCAAAGTCTAGATGGCTGGTAACAAATGATATTTTTTTCCAGATGTTTCAGACCCTGTAATGAGATTTGGCACTTGTTTTTGTTAATAAAGGGGGTATTTACAGGTGGTATTGACTTGTAGTAAACTATTTTAGATCTCTTGTTAGCAAACACTAAGTTTTTAAAGTACTGCTTTTATATGGTTATTAGCAAATAGAAGCCTCTATTTTTTTTTATTTTTTTTTGTGCATAAAGCCACCTTATTGCTTTACTTCAGGATAACATGCCAAGTTTGTGTTCACTAACTGTAGTACAGCTATCAATTAAACACTGCAAAAATATTTGCTCTTCAATTAGAAAAAAGGCTTCCAAAGATAGTTGCAAGTGTGTTTCTTAAATTGTGTGGATTCATCTATTTTCCAAATAAGTGAAGTTACAGAACACTGCTGCAATCTAAAGCTTAGAGAGAGTAGGCAGTACATCCTCATCATTTATTAGTTTTATGTAACTTACCATATCTTTGTTTCATGGCTACATTTTTCTCTTTCTTCTGAGCAGACTATAATCAGATTCATCATGTTATGCCAGTAATTTTCTTGGCAAATTGACCAATATGCCAAAAAAAGGAACCCTACTGATTTGTGGGATATCAACAACAAATCAAACTCTGTCTTCCAAATTCTTAGACCAACTGCTTGTATATGTCAGAATGTGTAACCCAAGCTCTAGATTCCTTCCTTACTTCAAAATGCCAGAAAATAGAGGCGTGTAAAGGAACCACTTTGTTACCTTGAGAGGAAGGAAAAGTAGTTTAAGTAGTTGAGAGAGTCAATTAAACAAAATCTTTACCATGAGAACAGATGCTTCAGAAATTGCATTCTCTGCTGCAGTTCTTGGATTCAGTTTTCCTAACAGCTGATGCCTGGAATAGTATTTGGGATATTATTAAGCCAGTAGATTTAAAATTGTGAGATGGTGCACTTGTCTAAGTCGGAGATTCAATTTTTATCTCCAACGAGCTCTTAATTTTTTGTCCATTTATTGTAATTTTATTTGGCCGCCTTGTGATTTGTTTCTTACATAAAATAAACAAACTGCTACTCGCATCACCTCAGATGTCCTAACTACATAAAACTACCTGATTAATAGGTTTTGAAGCTAAGATCAACCATCCAGGGCCCTTCCCTTTAAATTGGCCATTCTTGAACAGGCCCCTGTACCCATAAGGAGTGCTGTTGACTGACTTATTCCATATGGTCACAGTGTAATACCAGCTGTTTGCAGGATCAGGGCCATGGTTTTCATTGTAATAACTTTTTCCTGACCAGTTTCAGTTGTAATGGTTTAGTTTGAGGAACTCTTTTAAAAAGAGAGGTTCTTCTAATATTAAAAGCGTACTAGCTGTCTGTCTAGCTGTAAGCACATTAAAGCAGATTCATTTCTGTAAAAGTTACAAAAAATTGAGGGAAAAATATCAAATAAATTTGTTTGAAGTATTGAATACTGCTCTTTTATTATGATACTTTTATATAACCAAATAAGAATCTTTGAAGTGTTCTATGCTTTGTAACGTTGTAGTTTGGCATGACATAACAACAGGAGAGGAGAAAAAGCTGTAATTTTAATAGTTGCTTTGAATAAACCATTGGTTCAATTTTAAATTAATGAATGCAAGTGTTGGTAATTCTTGATTTATTTATTTATTTATTTATTTTTTTCCAGTTTTAATCATTGCCTGTTGTTTCTTCCAATCTCCATGGTCCAATCACTTTATAGTTCAGCATTTTTCCAGGCTTATTTGGTGAAATGGTTACACGCTTGCTGAATGTTTAATTTCTAGCCATACACAGAACTCCCTTGCTTGAAATTTTGTTTTCTAACATATATGTAAGGGTTCTGTACTGGACAAAGTTCAGGATAATTTGTTTAAAATGAAAGGTGTTTTTTGTTTAGTCTACTATATTATTCCAAATATAATGAATACGCATGGAAACAATGCAGTTGCTTCAGGTCTCTTATTCTGTGGTTGGTAATTCATTACATATCCAGTTATTTTTTCTTTTTAAATTCTTAAACATTTCTTTTGCTATTGGAGCCCCCTCGTAGCATAGTCCAGAATCCGTGGCAGGACTAGTTAATATAGGACAAACTAGCTTCAGACTTATTTATCTGACTCTGACAGGACAATGAGTAAATTTTAAAAGCATTGCTTATTGAAAGACTTATCTCCATCTAAATGTAATATTTTCCCTACTTCCTTGCCTGTGTGACCTGAGAGAGTTCAAATTATCTATTGCTTTGAAATTACCTTTTAAAAATAAATAAATAAATAAATAAATAAATAAAAAAGACACCACCATAGATTCATAGATGCTAGGGTCAGAAGGGGCCTCAAAGAATCATCGAGTCCGACCCCCCCCCCGCCAGTTGCAGGCAAAAGTGTTGGGGTCATGTGACCCCAGCCAGGTGCTTGTCCAGTCTCCTCTTGAAAACCCCCCAAGTAGGGGAGAGCACCCACCACCCTTTGGAAGCCCATTCCAGATTCTGGCAACTCCAGCCATGAAGAAGTTCTTCAAAGGGGTGCTTTGGTAAACAGCATCTCCTATTCCCTGCTGCCCTCCCCCTGTGAAATTGTATACTGCCACAAAATCCCCCCCTCAGCCTTCTCTTGCGGAGGCTGAAAGGTTCCAGGTCCCTCAGCCTTTCCTCATAAGACCTTCCCTGCAGGCCTCTAACCATACCAGTGGCCCTCCTTTGGACCCTCAAGGTTGTCCACATCCTTCTTGAATTGCGGCACTCAGCATTGGATGCAGTACTCTAGTTGCAATCTAACCAGTGCCACATAGAAGGGGAGCATCACCTTGCTGGACCTGTTTGTGATGCACCTACTAACACATGACAAAGTGCAGTTAGCTCTGCTAATTGCTTCATCACACTGATGACTCGCACTCATCTTGGAGTCAACAATGATTCTGAGATCTCTTTCTGACACTGTGCTGCTGAAAAGGTCATCCCCCAGCCTATAGGTGTGTTGGTGATTCCCTATGTTGGCTAGAAAGGACCAACTTGTGGGGTCATAATGAATTCTAATTTATTGTACGGGATGTAAAGTTACCAATAAAACCATAAATGGAAACTTTGAGTTGAGGGGCACTGGTCACTTTAGCATGCGTGCACGCACACATATGCACTCACGCATTTAAACCCATGTAGTATAGTAGCTGCTGTAGTGATTGTGAGAGCACTGGTGTCAGTATATATACCTATCCAAGGCCCTGAAGTCAGCTGTTGATGGTCAGCTTCCTTCAAGGAGATGTCTTTTCCAGAAGGGGGTTGCCTGCTTGTCCTTCTGTCTCAGTAGGTCAGGTGTTGGATGAGAGAGTTTCACTGAGTCGTGCTTCATTGCCTTTTATCCATTTCTGGCAGACTTGTGTGATCTCCCAGCGTCATTTTGGCTGCCCAATGTGGAGGTCGCTGTCCCACATGGATCTTGAGTAGTGCTTGACAGCTGTTAGTCACAGTCACTGGAGGTTTTCCCCAATGATGTCGTTTTGGGAGTCAGTTTGTGATTTTGATTAATTAGTAATGGTATTGTTAAGGGTTGCAGGAATAGTCAATAGGGTGGGTGCTCAGTCCCAAGAATCAGTTCCTTGGCTTGACTATTGTTATTTAATTACCTACTGATCAGTGATCACCATACATATTCACATTCACTCAAGGGACCAGCCTAATATAGCAGATTTTATCACTTTACAATTACAATTTCAATGCAGTTTTTAACAGTGGTCTAGGGTGTAATTTCATTCTATGGGGCAGTACGTTCCTTAAGGGTTTAAAAGTATAACATATAAAATAAAAAATGCCATGGTAAAGATGAGACAGATGAAATATAAAAATGCACTGTGAGAAATATATAAAAATTAAATGTGAGATGGTGAGGATTAAAGGCTACAAGGGACAGTAAGTGAGTTAGGTTAGCACCAGGATATATTTATAATCTTTGAAGTAGATATTTTAGTTCTTTTGTTTTCTTCAGTGACACTGAGCTTAATTGATATGTAGATGTAGTTCATAGGTTTCTCCTACAGAAAGCCACTTCAGCTTTCCGGCTTGCTCTGAGCCTTGCCACACCCATGCAATGAGTGTGCTAGGTCTCTGCCAATACTTAGAAGGAAAAAGAAATGCACAAAAACAGGTGGGGGTTGCAGGCAAGAAGGGGCTTGTGTTATTATAATGTCCAGGAGGGAAACGTACGAAGGGGGCTTTCTGCTATATCTAGGTGCAGCTCCACCTTGCACTTGTCCTTGCTGAACTGCATCCTATTGTTCTCTGCCCACTTCTCTAACCTGTCCAGGTCCGCCTTGATTCAGTTTCTTCCCATCAGCGTGTTTGCTTCGCCCCATAGTTTGGTGTCATCTGTAAACTTGAACAGAATGCTTTCCATGCCCTCATCCAGGTCGCTGATGAAGATATTGAACAGCACCCGCCCAAGGACGGAGCCTTGGGGGACCCCACTGCCCGCAACTTTAGAGGTCAATACCGACCCATCCACCACCACTCTCTGGGTATGACCCTTAAGCCAATTTGCACCCACATGATTGTGTAACCATCTATGGCACAGCCATTCAATTTGCTTATAATAAGATGTGAAACTGTCGAAGGCCTTCTTAAAGTCCAAGTAGATAACATCTACCTTGACACCTGCATCTAAGCTTTTAGTGACCTGTAGCAATTTGTAACACTGGCTTTCCTCATACATGACATACCAACTCCCTCCACCCCACAACTAGATTAAAGCAACCACTTTGTGCACTATAGCTTGTACTGTGGACTTGATCTAATACCAAAAATTATTTGATTTATATGCTGCCTTACCAAAAGTTAAGGGTTGCTGACAAAAGCAAATCATAAAGTTAATCTATGTCCATTTTAAAAAAAAAAAAAGGACAGGGACCAGAATGCTCCTGAACTTAACTGCAGGACTTGTTAAACATTGCTACTTCAGACTACATGCAGCAGGGGCTTGAGCGCCTTGGCTGCCATTGAGACATTGGACTGTGCATGGGTGGGGTAAGGTGCTGTGTGAGGGACATCCTGCTCAGCCAGGCACCAGGTGCCTTTTCAAAAGCGGCTTATCCTCAGCAGCCACAGGAGCTTGGTTGTGTGGGGCCCGCCCGTGCTGAAGCAGCAGCGTGCTCTGGGGCTCCAAATGTGTCTGGTGCAGCTGTCTTTGCAAGGGCCTGCCCTGTCCCCCCAGGATGGCAGCACAAGCTGCATGGGGAGCAGGGCTGCAGGCAGGAGCTGTGGACAAGGGGGCTACCATCTTCCTCATTAAGAGCCAGAGCAGGCAGGAGGTGTATGCGCGTAGACTAAATGCAAAACAAGCAAACAGAAAAATGTATGTCAGCAGTTTAAAATGCCTTGCAATGTTACTAAGTATCCGCTGTTGGATCAGCATCAGCCGATACAGTTGGTTAATCACTGGCTATCGGTATCGGCCAAGAGAGTCTTTATCGGTGCACCCCTAGCAGCAATGCACATGTAGACACTGATGCAGCTGGCTGAAGCATGAAGGTACTTCAGTGTGGGGGCTGCCTGCCAGCTAGCCCTGCACTGGAGCACTCGCAGCCCTGGGCTGGCAGGCTGACCCCAGAGGCTCCCTGCCAGCTGGGGCTGCTCCAACCAGTCTCAATGTGCAGCAGTCCCTGGCACACATTCAAATAGTGCCCGGGAACAAAAAACTCTGGTGCAATGAGTGCCGGAGTTTATTGCTGCACCGTAATTCCACATGTAGACACACCCAGTGGGGATCACTTTGCTGCAGAATGATGTCCTTCTAAAATAAAAGAACTAAGGGTTTGTTTGTATGTATGGAGTCAGTAGCAACACATAGGGGTGCATGTGCACCCCCCAATAGCACTGGTGACCCCCTCACAGCAGTGTTCCCCACTTAGGCAGTGGGGCTGGCGGGAGCGCTGATGCCTCCCCTGAGAGTGCCGGCCGGGGAGTGAGGGCACCAGAAGTGCCGCTGACACTGGCCGCTGGGGGAGCAAGTGCCCCCCTGACTCAGGAGGCACCACTCACCTATGCATGGAGTAATTCTGAATCAGCTGTCTACTTTAAACTCGGACACTTCCTTATCCTGGAGTAATATTTGTGCGTAGAAAAACTACCAAGAGCCCAGGAAGTCCATTCAAAGAAATGACAAAGGTCTCTTCTGAAGATACGACCTCCAGTCATGCTACTCTGAGGTTCATGAGGTAAGATAGGTCCAATCTAATAATGCAAGGGTGTTTTGAACATGTAGCAGAGGAAGAATACAGCTCAAAGGTTGTCATTTTTTTTTAATAGAGACTGATAATAAACGTGTTGCAGGTTGCTTTTTTTCTCTAAAATGTGATTATCCAACTCTCAGGATGACCGTTAACTATATAAGAAAGTTGCACTGATTTACTTACAATCTGCTTTTAAACTGAGACACAAGGATTGTGGGGGGTGATATCTCTTATTGGACCAATTGTATGGTTGAGATTAGATCCAGACGTTTTCAAATGTAGGGCATTCAGATCTGAATCAGCAGGCTGACTTAGCTTGGTGTAAGGTTCTGCCTTGGTGCTCAAACTCAAATAAAGATAACTTATTTTGACTTCACTTAAACAGCAGGTATATGCTAAAGTGAGATAAATATCAGTATGGACTCTTGCTGTGATTAAGCTAATTGGCTTTAAAATCATACTTTAAGTTAAATTTGCTTAACCTAAATATTTCAGTAACTGCTTTTAAAATTTCTTATATTTAATCCACATTTGTCCTTAAATTTTTACACATTTTTCCTGATTCTTTAAAAGAACTTTTGATAGATTTTTTAAAATAAACCAAAAGTACCGCAGAGAGGGACACACAATCACTGTAAAGCAGACAGACAAACTATTTTTTTTCCTTATTTTGGGGTCTCAAATCATACCTTGGGGCCCAATGTTTAACATTTGCATGCTGTCTTTTCTGGGGGTAACTTACACAAATAGAAGAGTACATTTATTCTTTTGCAAGAGGAAGAAATCTGGAAGGCAAATGAGCCCCTTAAATTGGGATGTCTGTGGGAGGGGAGGCGAGGAGAGCTGCAGAGTAGCTCTTCTTACACAAGTTACTTCTATACTCATCTACCTTGGCCACCCATCTTGATGGATGACTATAGCTGCTACCACCCAGGTGCAAAAAAGGCACCCATCCATGGTGGTTTCCTGCAGTCCCACTACAGGAAGCTGAGTTTTTTGGTAGATGTGTTGGAGAGTCCTGAACTCCCCTCTTTTGCTGCGCTGGCTGTGTCACTACCTTCCTCCTCCCCGGCTCTGGTCCTGGAAGCCATCCGGTCTGAATAACAATGATAAGCATGAGAGAGAAGCAGACGATAAGGGACAGTTTCAAGAGAATTGAGATGCACAGGTCATGGATTGCACCCAGAGCTAATAATGCCACCCCAGGAAACAACAATGGTCACAGGCCGTGACTCAATTTCCCTGCTCCCTTAATCCTTATCCCATAGAAATGGGTGGGAATACAGGCATGTGCACCTGAACTATATGAAACCTCCCCCCACACAGGCACAGGCATGGGAGTCTGGGATTTGCCTCAAAACATGAGGACAGTTACTGAGGTGAGGACCCTGAGACCTTGCCACCTGGTAGCGAGTGTATATCTCTGTATTTCCTGCTCCATGGTGCTGCTCTTGGCAAAGTTGTGTGATGGCTAATCTCCAGATAAACCTGCATCTATAGTTCAGAGAAGCTTTCTTTGGCTTCTCCTGTCCTCCAGATAAAACGAAAGCCCCCCAGAGTCAGCATCCTGGCTGGAACAGGCCTGGCACAAATGCACCCTGTGCCCACTGATTCCTTTCCCCTGCCTGATCTACTGCTCCACTTTCTGTTCCCTGCCCCTTCTGCCACAGGGCTGTGCATCCCCTTCCTGACCGACCTTGTTGCCCACCCCTCACTACCGCCACCTGTGAGGACAGGAGCACCCAGAGCGCCCTGAGGACACGGGGGGAGGGGGGGCTGGGCTATCACCCCCCAACACATACATACGCACGGCCTGCCCCACGCACCCCCCTGCCTCCCACACACGCACATGCACAGCCCCTACCCCACACATATCCCTGTCCCCCACATGTACCTTGCCCCCCCATGCCCGTTACACACACACACACACGCCCATCCCACACAGAAACCACCTGCCCCACACACATGTACACACACACACACACACACACACGTCTCTCATCTCACACACACATACGCACGCACAGCCCCTACCCCCACACACGCACCCTGCCCCACACCCACCCTGCTCCACGCACGGTCGTGCTCCCCACCCCAAGGCCGGGCCGCTAGGCAGCGGCTGGGCACCGAGTCCGAGGAGCCGGCGCCCGCCGGCCCGGCGCCGCTGCCCCGGCTACTGTCCGCCCTCTTCTACGGCGCCTGTTCCTTCCTGCTCGTGCTGGTCAACAAGGTGGTGCTGAGTACCTACAGGTGAGCGAGCACCGCCGCCCCAGGGCCACGGCCACCCAGCCCGGCCCACCTTACTGCCCCGCCCACATATATCCACGCGCAGGTGCAGAGCTGCGGGATTGTATCCGTGTATGTGTTTAGACAAGCATGTCTGTGCAGGTGTTTACATGTATGTGTGTATACACACGTGCATGGGTGTATGTGTGTGTACACGTGTGTGTGCATGGATACACACGTACCTGTCTGTGCACACTATGTGTGTGCATGTATATGTGTGCACGTGTGAGTGCATACACACTTTTAAGTGCACCTGTGTGTGCTGGTTTGTGTGCATGTACACACACATATGTGTATGTGGGTGTATATACATGTATATGTGTGTGTATGTGAATATATATGCATATGTATATGTGTGTGTGTGTACACGTAAGTTTATATTCACACTTTTATAAGCAAGAGGATTGTGGGCTATTTGTTAACTTCCTGTGGTTTTGATTCCGTCTCTTGGTATTTCCCAGCTCTTACTCTTTTTATGCAAAGAGTTTTGCAAATGAAACAAACAGGGCAGAGGAAACAATGCCTCTCTGTTGGGGAAGAAGGACAGAGGCAGCCAGCCAATAAAGGGCAGGTCTCTGTAGGGGTGTATTAAGAGCTTGCTTTCACTTTAGGTAAAAAGGCAGCAAGAGAAGATATCTAGCTGCAGGAGTTCCCACTGCAATATTGGGGCTTCAGCCCATACCCTTTACCCTAATATTTACTGGAACCATTTGGAGGCACATTGGTTGCTGTGCTCTAAAAGAGGGAGCGCTCTGTTATCCAGGGCAAAAGAACAAAAGGATTCCAACGCGTACATATGGAAATGTGAAGCTACTGGGTTCAAGGCACCTCTGGATATTTTAATTTCCTTTTCATAATCTTCTCAAGGAAATCTTTACCATTCAGGGCCCCCAGAGATGATACTGTCTAGACAGTCACCTAGAAACTGTGCAGAACCAGCGCACGATCACATAAATGCTTCTTTCTTTGAACTAGCATGAGTCCTTTATATTGTTCAACTTGCACCTGCACGATAACGTTGGTCAAGTCTTGCAGTTCAAAGTTTGTCTCCTCAAGGAGTAACTCTTGTTGCTAAGGAAACACTCTTACCGTTGCAAAGCAGGTTTCCCT